TAGTTTTCAAAAAAAATGTTAACATACTAACTTAACACCACACTTCACAGATCGATAAGAATCACATCTTTACATATTCTAACCTAACAATAAAAAAGTGTCATTGAGATCATTAAAGAGAACAGTTGGGGGGGGGGGGGGGGGAATGAACCTTCTTTTTATGCTTTCCACCTCCGGATTTGGCCAGTTTAGATGACGGCGGCGGAACCTTATCCTTCTTCGGCGCCTGTTACATTCAAACATGACTACAACGATTCAGACGAAATAAAGAGATCTTCTTACACAGAGACGTGAGAGAGTAGAAACATAGAGGAGGTACCATGTTGAGTTGGAGGAGGAGCATAGATGGTTGAAAGATAAGGCGGACGAGTAGAGTATGCTAAGTCAAGAGGAAAACGACGAGTAGCGTATGCTAAGTCAAGGCTCCACGAGAGAGAGATAGAGAACCGAAAGAGAGAGAGAGAGATAGAGAACCGACATAAAAAAAATCAGCACCTTTCGATTTCGATTCACAAAACATCTGCTTCGATTCGACTCGGTTTGTTGCGATGATTGTGAGAAAGAGTTGAGAGAGAGAGTGACAGAGACAGAGCACGAAAGAAAGGAGCAAGTGATCGTTTTTTCTCTCTCTCTTCTCATAAAATGGCAACACTTGTCCAAAAGATACGTATCTTCGCCACCCTCTGTTTAGGATATGTATCTTTTATTAATTGTTGTTTATTTTTTTTATTTAATCCTGCTTAAAAAACTACTTCAGATAGAGGGATATGATGCTCTTAGAGGGTTTCATAAGAGACGACTTCTATGTTTAAAGTAACTTTAATAATGTTTTCTCTATGTTTGTTTTGTTTTTGTTTTTTGTTTTGACATCAAACGGCTGTTCTATTACTCAAACGACTTGAGGTGGTCTGGGTAACCAGACCGGAACAGAAAAACCAACGTACACAAGCTTACGATAAAAGGACCTAGCTAACTTAGCTAAAGAATCAGAAGTGCCATTCTGAAGTCTAGGAACATAAGAGATCTTGAAGTCCGGAAAGCAGATCTTCAGCGTCATCAGTTTTTCCAACTTCGTTGAGAAGCTAGGCCATGCCTGAGGATTCCTGAGCATTTCGATCATCTCCTTGCAATCAGTCCCAAAGCTCTGACATGGCAAATGTTGAAGCATGTTCTCCATTTCCCACCGCAGTGCTTCCAACTCTGAATGCAACGCCGATTCCACTCGATCAAAATTACGCACCCCCAGCAACTGGCTGTTTCCAGAAGCATCATTCAAAACCCACCCACATCCACTGAAGGAGTCCGTTGAAGTCCAAGATCCATCTACCATGCAGATGTTTCCCAAGCTTAAGGCCCGGTCTTCACTTAATCCCTCCCCAAGAGGAGGCGGAATTTCCTGCTCATTTGCTTGGAACCATGCTTGGCATTCACTCTCTGCGTACTGCGCCACTTCCAATGGGTCCCTATCAATGCCTCAGAATAAGTTATGATTCCTAGCCTTCCAAATGTACCAGATTAGCCAAGGATAAGGATCCCTATCCAACTCCGGTCCCATAATTGTATTTTTCCTCCAGAACAGATAATCCATATTCGCGTACGTGCTTTGAACTGGAAACATAGCTGGATTGGTAGGCGTAGATGATAGCGCCCACACCTGTAAAGCAAATGGACATTCAAATATTGCATGTGTAATCGTCTCCTCTGGCTCTCCACATCTAGGACCATGGTTGTCACATCTCATATGCCTGTAGTTTAAAATGCTTGTGACAGCTACATGTCCTGTAATCACCTGCCACATAAGATGGCACATCTTTTGGGGAGCCCTGACCTTCCACGCATGTGCTTGGAGCTTTGTGATACTAGGCTAACATACTATAGTTTCATCTTTCTTCCTCAAGAAGTTTCGCACTACCCAGTATCCCAATTTAACGGTATACTGCCAAGTCCTTGTATAGCTCCAGCTGTACGTATCCCGTCGGTGTGTGGAACTAATAGCCATGCTCTTGATGAGTGGAATGTCCACCGCATTAATGTAATCCTGAAGTCGTCTTTCATCCCAAGTCTTCGTTGTTTAGTTGATCAAATCGCTCACACGCATATTCGGATGCAGAACCGGTGCCAAAGGAATTGCTAGTCTCGCAGGTATAGTAGGAATCCAAGGATCCTCCCAAGCTTTAACCTCATACCCTGAATGAATTTTTTGTCTGATTCCTAATTCTCTATGTTTGTTTACTAGTTGATAGCTGACCCACAAAATTTCTGAAGCACGCCTATATAAAATAACCAATTTTTTTGTACAATCGTTAGAGGTAAATATTAAACGTCGATTGTATTGCTGAGAGTATTATATCAATTAGTAAGCGAGGACCATATATCTCGGATCGTGTTTACCATAACTTGGTAAGAATACCATATTACAAAATACTAGGATAAGACTTGCGTAATGTGCAAGATGATTGTATGTAACTAAAAACTAAAATTTTAGTATTGACAAATTTAAAATTTACATATGATTATTTTTATATGTATTTAGAATTTTAGAATTCTGAAATTTTTATATAATTGTTTATACGTAGGATCAGAAACAATTGTAATTATAACTGTAGATCAAAGTTTAGAATTTAATGGGCCCGATTTTATATACCTTTTCACTTTTCAGTGTTTGAGTGATGGAAAATAAACGGAATGTCACATGACTTGATTGATAGAGTATTAGCAAATTCCCTAATGCTTTCTTAAGAAGCAGTTGATAGAATACTTGCATTTAGAATATATAAAGTTTCAAAACTAATTTAATAGAAGTTATTTACTTATCTAATAATATCCGAAAAGTATATTTCAAAAAAAAATATTTTTTAAAGAAAGAATAATTTTATCAAAATTACTTTTAAATTTTAAATTACTAAAAACTGAATTATTTTTAAAAAAATATTTTAAGTTTTTCAAATAAAAATTGAAAATTGAAAATTAATTATGGTCATGATTGAACATAACCATAATGATTTAAAAAATTAGCAAATTAAAAATTAACTCAGTTTTATATCATGATTTAACAATTTAAAAATTAATCATTGTTATGAAAAAATTACATTCTCGTGTCAATCCTATCCATCTTCAATATTTTTCTCTTTTTGTGTTTTTATATTTTGGTTATTATTCGATATAAATATTGATTTTGAAGTTTATTCTCATTTCGTTTGTTTCTTTTGGCCTGAGATTTAGAAAATACCTCAGATTTAAAATAATTAAAGAGATACATACTTAAGTTAAGATCTGCACTTTATGCACAATAAGTATTTTATATTTATTGTTTTTTTTATATTTTTCTGAATATTATGAAATAATAAAATAATAAATATATATATTAAATAACTAAGAAATGAGTTACTATTATGTAATAAATTAGTGTATGCATATAAATTTAACCATTACTCTTGTTTATTCGAAATTAGGGTAAATAAATGAAAACAATCAATCTTATATATCGTATAGGATATATATAATTAAATTTAAATGATATTAACATAGATATATAGCACAATTTTAAAATTGATGTTTAGTAAATGAGTTTTCTACTCATATGATTTTATGGTTATTTGCACAAAAATTTACACCAACGAATTATTTTATAATGTGAGTTTTTAATAGTTTCAAATAATTTATGATTATTTAAAAAAACAATGACAGATTTCAAAATTAAAATATGAAATTTTCAATATATGTTTAATGCAAATATCAAAATATAAATATGTATTTTATACGATGTATAGTTTAATTTAAACGATATGAAATATATATATATATATATATATATATATTAACATAAAATCTATTAAAATAAAATTATTTCTTCATATGGTCGCATAATCATTGTATTTTAATATAGAAAAAAATTTAAACCTTGATCATAAAAGCTTATGTGCGATTTTTAACAGTTTTAGTAATTTATGCTCTTTTTGAAAAAATCGAAATATAATATACACAAAAAAATGTAGATTTTTATTATATGATTAATGTAATTGTGTAATTTATTTTAATAATAAAAATTAAACAAAATGAGAAAAAATATATAGATTGTTATCAAATCTTTATTGTTTAAAATCATTAATTGTCATATATATTTTAATCACATTAGGTAATTTCGTAGGTTTTAGTTAAGGAAAGTTTGCGAAACAATAAATATTTGATATATGCGACCAACTATAGTCTGCGAAATATTATATTGCTATAGAGTATAATTTTTAGACTATACTTTATGTTAACAGTTCTAGAATTATTATATTTTGAAACAGAATGCCATATATGATTGAGTTATTTTTTAATTAATACAAACTTAATGTTACATCTTTCAAATGATTCTCGATTAATATATAGTGGATATCATAACACCTCCCCCCCCCCCCCTAAAAAATGTATTAGTTTATGGGGCTTCCAAATTACAAAATCTGATATTTAGCATAGACGTAACAAAAGTCTCTATATGTCAAAAGTTCGATCCTTTTTAGCTTTCAGTTTTATTTGCCTGAGTTAGTGATGAGGTTAAATATAATCAAAACTTAACGTAACTAGAACAATACTAATTGTTGAACAAAAAAATCAATACTAATTTAAGATGTTCAACTGCTGACCAACTTTGAAGGAGCTATGATAATGTGGCAGGGAGCTAGAAGCCTTGAACATTCAAATTAAGTTATCCAAGAAAAACATACCAGTATCAATTCGACAAGATTTGTGGTCCTTACAATCAAATTAAGTTTTAAGTCCTCATTTTTCTCCATCACATGTAAAGAGTAACAACTCAAAAGAATTTAAATTAGCGATCAAGACAAGAAGTTATGAACATGTTAAACTTTCATTTTCATACTCAAATAAGCCGCCTCTAAGGTAAGCAAAACAATTTTGTGTTATTTTTTCATCAAATATGTATGCTGTTACACTGATCTTGTGGTTTTTGTCCTATGACTAGCCTCATAATCTTATTTTTTAAGTTAGTGATTTTGCATTTAATAAGTTAGCTTTGAATTAATGTAAATTTATTATTCATTGTTATCGGCTATGAAATCCACTGTGTTATTTTTGCAACAAAACTCTCGTTCTTAACAAAGAAGTTTCCTCTGGACAATGTTTCTCATTCTCTATGTGTAGTTGAGTGAATTGCAGAGTATGCATTTAGGTGAGTAAAACTCAAGAATAGTAGCCTCTTCAACGCAGCTGTGAACTTTAGGAATGTGAGTACTTGTGTGTCGTTTTCCTTATCTGATTATCAACTTTAGTTAGTTGATAATCGTGTGTTCATAAACTTGATGTTTTGTTTTTATAAACTGTAAACAAAATTACAGGGAA